TTCTCATTTTTTTCTTGGTTTCATTTCTTTGGAATTAATAAATAGACAAATCAAATCAAAACAGGTTACATTTGGTTATCAAACTTAAAAAAAAAAAGAAAAAGAAATCCACGTGTAAACACAAGACAACTATACGTTTTATATTCATAATAATTTAATTTTAGCGTTGGTAGATAAAACTCGATGTTACCAAAAGTATACACTATCTAATTTACCAAAAAAAAAAAAAAATCGTTCCCTCTTATATATAAACCCTTCTGTTGAATTAGCAGAGTGGAAAAGACAAACATACAAAAAAACTATAAAAAACTCTCTTAAGTTGTTTTTTCTCTAGTCTTTCTCCAAATGGAATGGACTAGAGGAAGAATCCTAGGCCGAGGCTCAACAGCCACCGTATGCATCGCCACGTATCACAATTCCGCAGAAATCCTCGCCGTTAAATCCGTCGAGCTTCACCGATCAGAGTTCTTGCAAAGAGAAGCCAAGATTCTCTCGTCGCTTGATTCTCCTTATGTGATCGCATACAGAGGATCAGAAACCAAGAGAGAGTCAAACGGCGTCGTTACGTATAACCTTTTCATGGAGTACGCACCGTACGGTACGTTGACCGACGCGGCGGCTAAAAACGGAGGCCGGTTCGAGGAGGAGAGTGTTATCGTGAAGTACACGCGCGAGATGTTGCTAGGGTTAGAGTATATTCACTCGAAAGGAATCGCGCATTGCGATGTTAAAGGTAGTAACGTGGTTGTTTCGGAGAAAGGTGAGGCCAAGATTGCGGATTTCGGGTGTTCGAAACGGGTTGACCCGGTATTCGAGTCGGCCGTTATGGGAACGCCGGCGTTTATGGCTCCGGAGGTGGCGCGTGGGGAAAAACAGGGGAAAGAGAGTGATATATGGGCGGTTGGGTGTACGATGATTGAGATGGTTACCGGTTCTCCGCCGTGGAAGGAGGAGGATCCGGTTTCGGTTCTTTATCGGGTCGGGTATTCCGGTGAGACTCCGGAGCTTCCTTGTTTGCTTACGGAACAAGCAAAGGATTTTTTGGAAAAGTGTTTGAAGAGAGAAGCTAAAGAGAGATGGACGGCGACACAACTACTAAACCATCCGTTTTTGATAACTAAGCCGGCTTTGATTTCCGGTTTGGTTTCGAGCTCACCGACAAGTGTGACAGATCAAATGTTTTGGAGATCAGTG